GGAGCCTCGTGGGTGCCGCTGGCTCCATGGCCGAGAGCGGCGCTTGGCTGCTGGTGCTCAGCGCCGTGTTCCTCTGCAACGCGCTCAAGATCGTCCTGCCCTCCTGCTCCTCCATCGTGAGTGATGCACCGGCCCGGACCGCGCGGGGAGGGGATGTGGGACCCTCGGGCGGCTCTGGGGGGACAGAGACCACGGGGAAGGGTGTCACGGGGTTGTCCTCCTATGTCCTATGAGGAGAGGCTGAGGGAGCTGGGGGTGTTCAGCCTGGAGAAGAGGAAGCTCAGGGGAGACCTTCTCACCCTCTGCAACTCCCTGCCAGGAGGTTGGAGTCAGGTGGGGGTTGGTCTCTTCTCCCAGGCCACCAGCAGCAGGACAAGAGGGCACAGACTCAAGCTCTGCCAGGGGAGGGTTAGGTTGGATCTTAGGAAGAGATTTTTTACAGAGAGAGTGCTCAGGCACTGGAATGTGCTGCCCAGGGAGGTGGTGGATTCCCCATCCCTGGAGGTTTTCAAGCTGAGACTGGATGGGGCACCTAGTGCCATGGTCTAGTGACCATGGTAGGGTTGGACTTGATGATTGTTAAGGTCTCTTTCAACCTGGCTGATTCTGTGATTCTGTGATTCTATAACTGCTCTTTGGGTGGGTTTCACAGAAGCAAAGTATCACAGCATGGTTTGGGTTGGAAGGACCCTTAAAGACCATCTAGTTCAACCCCCTGCCCTGGGCAGAAACAGAGTCCACTAGACCATGTTGCTCCAAGCCCCATCCAACCTGGCCTTGAACACTTCCAGGGATGTGGCAGCCACCTAGGGTTGGACTTGATGATTGTTAAGGTCTCTTTCAACCTGGCTGATTCTGTGATTCTGTGATTCCTGATGGGATGGAGTGGAGAGGGAGCGATGCTGTTTTGGGGTGCTCCCAGTGACCCTAATGCACCCCTAGCTGTGATGGGCAGAGTCTGGTCCTGCTCCTGGTTTTGGGAGAGGAGAAGGTGATGCTGGAGGTGGTGGAACCCAGCACCATGGCCCTGCAACCCTGGTTATGTCTAGCTTTGATCTAAAATTTTGGGTGATGAGTTACCAGTGTCTTAAATGATGCTCCTGAGGCTCCAGCCCTTAGGAAATATCATGGAATCACAGAATGGTTTGGGTGGGAAGGGACATAAAAGATCATCTCATCCCACCCCCTGCCATGGGCAGGGGCACGTTCCACCAGACCAGGCTGCTCACTACATGAGTAGCTTGTGCTTCCTGGTAAGGTGACCTGTAGTCCTTAGAGCTTGTCAAAAAGTTTTCAGGGTATATAAAGGGCAACTTTGCTCAGTCTTCCATGTTTTCAACAGATGGACATCCCTGTTGTTGCGGAAGGAGATCAGTGGATATTGAGATCAGGGAGTTGAGGCATTATAGCAGAATACCTTAAGTCTCAATCACTAATTAGATGCCCCTGGTCTGATCTGAAGCATTCCTGTGGAAGTGTGGATAATGGAATCAAGGATCCATGAATTCTGTGACTGCCAAATATACTCACATGTGAATAAACATGCAGAAATCCCTGTCATTCTGCTCCTTCACTGTCACAGAGGCCTGTGCACATGGAGTGGCCAAGGGCACATGGTTTGTTCAGCCTGGAGAAGAGGAGACTGAAGGGAGACCTCATCAGGGTCTGCAGCTTCCTCAGAAGGGGAAGTGGAGGGACAGGCACTGGGCTCTGCTCTCTGTGACCAGCGACAGGACATGAGAGAATGGCATGGAGCTGTGAGGGGAGGGTTAGGTTGGATATTAGAGAAAGGTTCTTCCCCCAGAGCACTGGAGTAGCTTCCCAGGGCAGTGGTCACAGCCTCAAGCCTGACAGAGCTCAAGGAGTGTTTGGACAATGCTTTCAGGCATGTGGTGTGATTCTTGGAGTTATCCTGTGCAGGACCAGGAGTTGGACTTGATGATCTTTGTGGGTCCCTTTCAACTCAGGATATTCTATGAAAATCTGCTCAGCTTTCTGCTGTGGTTTGTGACTGAAAGTGGTGTTAATATTCTCATTGACTGCAGTCCTGAGAGCAGCATTTGTGGGGAACAGGTTACACATGACTTGGGAAAGCTGGAAAGATTTGCTAAAGAACAGCAAGAAAAAGATTTTGGGTCTTCATATGTTTATTTCTACGGTAAAAGGAGATATTGAACCAACAAGCAGGTGTTCCCTCATGAAAAGAATGTAGGAAAGTAAAAGCAAGGGGAAAATGCTGGAATATTTGGTTGCTGGAGCTGGAAATGGGAGTGATCACAGAATCATTTAGGTTGGACAAGATCTCCAAGACCATCAAGTTCAGCTTGAGGCTATTTCCTCTTGTCCTGTCGCTAATTGCCTGGGAGAAAAGGCCAATCCCCATCTGGTTACAACCTCCTGTCAGGTATTTGTAGAGAGTGAATAGGTCTGCCCTGAGCCTCCTGTTCTCCAGGCTGAGCAGCCCCTGCTCCCTCAGCCAATCCTCATCAGGCTTGGGCTCCAGACCCTTCCCTAGGTCTTTGTCCATCTCTGGACTTGCTCCAGCACCTAATCCAGCACCTGAGAGATGAGGAAGGGACATTGCTGGAGCTGCAAAGAGTAGTGGTGATGGAAGGAAGTATTTCCCTGGTCCTTCCTCTGCTGCATCTGTGAGGTGCTTGGCATCCAGGTGATGTCAGGGAGGGAGGGCAGCAGTTCCACTCAGGATGCAGTGGCAGATGAGGCCTGGGAGGTTTGGAAGGTGTGGGAAGGCAGCAGCATCAAGAATGGGGAGAGGAAAGCAAGAGATAGAGAAGGAAAGTGCAGTTAAACATAGTTTAAAGTTGAAAATTGCTGTCCTACAGACATGGCAAAACCCTTTCTTTTTTTTTTTTTTCAGTCAGAATAAGAGAGTTAAAACTCTCTGGCATTTAGAACCTGTTGTAGATGTTACCCAGGGATTTCCTGTGTCTGGATGAAAGGGCCTTGTTTATGGGAGGCTTCTGAGATCCAACTTCATACATCTTAAAGACAATAACTGGAATTCTGGATCAATAACTGATACTATTTCTTTACTTCTTAGATATCCAGGTTGCTACAAAAGGATGCAGAGCAGGAATCCCAGATGAGAGCTGAAATTCAGACAATGAAGCAAGAACTCGCCACCATTAGTATGATGGATGAGTTTGCCAGATATGCCAGGCTTGAAAGGAAGATTAACAAAATGACTGACAAGCTGAAAACTCATGGTAGGGTGCAATGTCTGCTCCCTTTTCTCAAAAACACTTTGTCAAGAGTGTTTCAATTTTAATTACACGTCTCTCTCAACATTTTTCCCCCTCTTCTTATCCATTTCCAGTGTTCCCTTCTTTCTGTCTTATTTTTTCCCCTCTTTAAAACTCTTTGGAGAGTTTGCATTTGCCTTTTCATTGTTCATAGTTCTGCAGACACTTAAAAGGCAGTGATTTAGCTAGGAGATTTTTCATACAAGGAATTCCCTGGGCTTCACTGTGTGATTTTTTTACTCTTCCTCAGTGTTGCTGCTCACTGAATCATGGTGGAGTAAGTCGAGGAAGAAACTAGTGTGACACAGACCTAGAAGTTGTTTGCAGAAGGCTATTTTCAATATAGCTATGAGGCATTTGAAAAGGGATTTTTAACCAGTTTAATGTCCTCCCTTGAAGAGTGAAATGTTAATAAATGATTAATTTTATGTAAGCATAATTTACCATAATAAATAATCAGACTCATATTTTCTCTCTTTAACAGTGAAAGCAAGAACTGCCCAATTAGCCAAAATAAAGTGGGTTATAAATATTGTGTTCTACATCTTACAGGTAAGTAAATCTTTTAATACAAATACAAATGAAACTAAATCCTCAGTAGTGTTATAATTCCCTCCTGACTGGTCAGACAGGGATCCCCCAGCACAGGAAGGACGTGAACCTGTTGGAGAGAGTTCAGAGAAGGCACCAAGGGGGTCAGAGGGATAGAGCAGCTCTGCTGGGAGGAAAGGCTGAGAGAGTTGGGGTTGTTCAGCCTGGAGAAGAAAAATCTTCAGGGTGACCTAATTGTAGCCTTCCAGTACATGAAGGAGCTACAGGAAAGATGGAGAGAGACTATTTCCAAGGGTCTGGAGGGACAGGACACAGGGAATGGCTTCCCACTGCCAGAGAGTAGGGTTAGACTGGATATTAGGAAGAAATTCTTTGCTGTGAGGGTGGTGAGGCACTGGCACAGGTTGTCCGGAGCAGCTGTGGCTGCTCCATCCCTGGGAGTGTTCCAGGCCAGGTTGGATGGGGCTTGGACCAACCTGGTCTGGTGGAAGGTATCCCTGCCCAGGGCAGGGGATTGGAACTGGATGATCTTTAAGGTCCCTTCTAATCCAAGCCATTCCATGATTCTATGATTCCAATGGCACAGTGCAAGAGTTTCTTGAAATGGAAGGGGGAGATGCTGCCAATGAAGTCTGGGAGTTGAGGATGGAAGGATTTTTGAGTTTCATTTCAGCTCTGTGTTTGTGGTTTTGGGGTGACAAGATAGGAGTTTGTCTTAGCTGTTTAATCACCAAGGATTGTTTTTGTTCATCCTTATATGGCACTAGGTCGAGGAAAGTTCTGCTACATGCAAATATATCATACTTGTGGTTTTGTCAACAAGATGATGCTTTTGCTGAGGGCACAAATCTCCACTTAGAGCTGCCACACATTTCCCCACTGTGCCTCATCAGATTGTCTCTGTAGTTCTGACTTGATGCCAAAGTATTATCTGCTAATAAGGATGGCAGTGGTCACCCTGAAGATGTCCTTAGGGGAATGTTAAAGTGAGGTGGATTCCTAGCAGGCCAAAATTAAGGCTAAAAAGAGTCAGCAAAATTTAACGAGTGACTATGTTTGTCTGTGTTGGTTTGGAACCAGAATCTCAAAAGAAAACAGTAGTTTCCACATTCTCAACTGCAACCCCTTAATCCTTTGTATAAATTGAAGGTCACGCCAAGTTGAAAACTCTTTTGAACAAGATAAAATAACCAAGAAACTATTCCCTTTAATTAGAATTTAGTATTTATTGTTTCGAAATAGCATTGGGAATGTACTTTGATGTGTATTATTACCCAAGCTAATAAAAATTTCCATTCCAGGCTGCCTTGATGATCTCTCTGATTTGGAAATACTATTCTGAGCCAGTCACAGTGCTTCCAAGCAAGTGGCTGGCTCCACTGGAGCGCTTGATGGCCTTCCCTACAGGAGTAGCAGGTAAGGAAAAGGACATTCCCAAGCCTGTGGTGACCAAGAGCATATATGAATTAACAGCACTGCTCCTATCCTCCCATTCTTCTGACTCCCTGAGCACAGGGAGGAGTTCAAGCATTGGATCAGCTGTTTCCTATGTGTTGAGTTCTTGTTTGTTTAACTGGTAATGAAATGGGCTATTTGTCATTTTTTATTTCTTCTCAAACAGAACACCTTTATCTTTTATCTGTGTAGAATAGACTCTGGAGAAGATGTAAATTAGAAGTATTTTTGTATTAAGGACTCCAGTGAAATAGTGAAATTTGGTTTAAAAATGGGAAAATACTTCAAAGGTCTGGATGTCTTACATGATTTTCTTATAAACTGCTGAGGTTTCTTAGCAGTGTAACTCCAGAGTGACTGTGTGCTATGAGGGTGCTGAGGCACAGCTTGCCCAGAGCAGCTGTGGCTGCTCCATCCCTGGAAGTGTTCCAGGCCAGGTAGGATGAGGCTTGGAGCAACCTGGGCTAGTGGAAGGTGTCCCTGCCCATGGCAGAGTGTAGAACTTGATGATCTTTAAGGTCCTTCCAATGACTCGATGATCTTTGAGGTCTTTTCCAACCCAGTTGATTCTATGTTTTTATGAAATGTGTGATGCACATACCATACTTTGGCCCATATTCCTGTTATTTGATACTCTTTTTCCCCACACAATCCAGGTTTTCTTGGACCAGCATGGAGTTAGTTGCCATCCCTTGGAGAGACCTCTTTGTATATAAAAAGGTCATAGAATCAACCAGGTTGGAAAAGACCTCCAAGATCATCGAGTCCAACCCTACCTTATGAAATGTGTGATGCACATACCATACTTTGGCCCATATTCCTGTTATTTGATACTCTTTTTCCCCACACAATCCAGGTTTTCTTGGACCAGCATGGAGTTAGTTGCCATCCCTTGGAGAGACCTCTTTGTATATAAAAAGGTCATAGAATCAACCAGGTTGGAAAAGACCTCCAAGATCATCGAGTCCAACCCTACCGTGGTCACTGGACCATGGCACTAAGTGCCACATCCAGTCTCAGCTTGAAAACCTCCAGGGATGGGGAATCCACCACCTCCCTGGGCAGCACATTCCAATGCCTGAGCACTCTCTCGGTAAAACATCTCTTCCTAAGATCCAACCTACCCCTCCCCTGGCAGAGCTTGAGTCTGTGCCCTCTTGTCCTGCTGCTGGTTGCCTGGGAGAAGAGACCAACCCCCACCTGACTCCAACCTCCTGTCAGGGAGTTGCAGAGGGTGATATGCTCTGACTCCCTTATCCTCCCAGGCTAGAGATGTTTTGTTCCTGTTCACCATAACTTCTAAGATTCATTTTTTACGCATCCAAAGTTGTTTTCAGATGCACCTGTGCCTCAGGGTTGTTGATCCAGTGGCTTAAATGATGGTTTCTCTCTCTTCCAGGTGGTGTTGGAATTACATGCTGGCTGGTGGTTTGCAATAAAGTTGTAGCTATCATGCTACACCCTTTCAGCTGAAGGAATCCCAGTAATCCATGAAGGCTTCAACTGTGTTTTCAGTGTCACTGTTTTAAGTTCATTTAAAACAAAAGGGAGAGTTGTCTTTCATGTGGTTAGGTCTGAGGTAATCCTTGTTTTCATTTGGATATCGCTCAGTATTCCTTTTGATTTCTCTTTGCAGGGTTTAGTGGTCAGTTTGGTGGTCAGTCTTGAAAGAAGAGCATTGCTGGTTACAGAACCTCATTTTGGGTCTGTTCCTGGCAGAACCATAACATTTTGTCATGGACTGTAATCACCAACATCTGGAAGTGTTGGATCTGTGTTTATAAATTGGAAATGTGCTGCATTAGGAATGAATTTGGGAGCTTTGCAGTTTCTGTGCTGATGGTTTCACCCCAAGGTGGGATCATGTCTGGTGGCAGGTACTACTCGAAGCCAGAGGGAGGTGATTTGGTTGGCTCAGGGTAAAGTGGAGTTTCCTTGTTATTTTTCACCCTGGAAATGGAATATTCTTGGGCTCTCCTAAAAAAATGAGCTATTGATGGATATGTTCAATCAACTTTTTCCTCTCTTAAGAGTCTCCCTCAGCTGCCAAACACAGAACAGCTGAATGCATTTTCCTCTCTGAATTTTAAAATCCGTTGCATTTTTTCCTGCTTTTTTTGATAATTGACCTTTCCTTCCTTGACATTTTGCTGCTTCCCAAACTGAGGATCACTGAAACTAATTCCTGCCATGTTTTTGGAGGAAAAGTCTGACCAACTTTCTCAAGCTCCATGTTAATAAAGGAAAGGTAGAAGACAGTGCTGTTCATGCTGAGCTGATCCTGATTTAGCTTCCCACTCTGGAATTCCAGTTATTCCAGGTCCTTTCCCATGCTGCAGGAAGGAAGGGGCCAGGGCCCCTCCATAATTAGCACTGCCTTTAGGAATCAGTTCAAAAGGTCATGTTATGTTGTGTGCAAAGATGCATTAAATGTTTGGGTTTTTTTTTTAATGTTAATTTAAAAATTAGGGATTTTTTGACAAGTTTTTATTAGGGATTACATTTTAGCCGTGCAAATAGATGCAAGGAAAACAATGTTGTGATGGAATGTTATGTCTAATTGTGGTTTTAGGAAGGAAATAAAGCTTTTCAACCCATCTCAGGTTTTTCTGATCTCTTTTTTTTAAGGTAAAAAAACCAAACTAGCAAAAAAGCCCCAAACCAACAAAACAAACCCAAACCCCAAACCAACAACCATCCCCTGTGTTCCTGCATAAGGAGATGCTTCTGGAATCAACTGATTTTTTAAATCATCCTTTGAAACGTTGCTGCAGGTAGGTTCAGCTCTAAACGTCTTTGTCATCTTTAGAAGCTTTTGCAGTGTAAATTTGTTAGAGTTTTATAAAGTTTGGTGTTGTTTTAAGTGCCTTTTAAAATGAAACAGAATAAATAGATCTTTTGAAGCTTACCAACAAGCAGAATAAATCTTTTCAAATTAACAGAATGCACCTAATTTTTTTCCCCTAACTTCATCTCATTTTAGTGAGTGTTGAGTGAGTTACTATGAGGAACAAAACCTAATCCTCCTACCCTCACTTACATAACCTTAAACACAGGATTTTTTAGAGGCTTTTTGGGAACTGGCTATGCCTGACTTCTCCAAAACAATAGTTTCCTCTTGCACATTCATCTTTGGCTGTCAGCTGTGGAAGTTACCAGGCAAACTGCTTTGATAAGTTGGAACAGTGGGAATGAACGAGGCTTTGGAGCTTTCTAATGCTCATGAAAACAATGTAAGAGCAAATTATTTGTAATACAAGTGAATTCTGGAAGCTGTTTGGGAGTGAAGGAAATAACAACTGGTTTTCTTTCATTGCATGGTTGGTGCTAACCCCAATAGTGATCCTTAGGAAAGCTGATGCCTCACAGCTAACCAAATTCCAGCTGCTTGAGAGTGTAAAAACCTGGGAGTTAGCAAACAAGGACTGATTTGGACACCTGCTAACAGGTGAAAATGTTAAGGAACTCTTAGGACCAATTTGTGTGGACAAAGCAAGAACAGAAGGAAGTTCTTCGGTGACAACTGATTTGACTTGGGGGAAAATCATGGAAAGAAGCTGCCACTGCTTGTAAGATTTAATATGCATTTAATGAAGGCAAAGCATGGGTTTTAACTACTTAAATGCTTTAAATCTTCTAAAGGTGAGTTGTACTTCACTAAATATCAAAATGAATTAGTTTGTGTATTCTCAGGGGTTTATTTGAGCATTGGGCACTTCCCATTGTGAACTCATCATGGTGCTTTGGAATTTGGCTGGTGCCATCCTGCATCCTTGCACTTCTATGCCTTCATTTCTCTCATGTTGGAACTTGAGTGCTGTCTCTTCAAACACGGTCTGCCCCAAAGAGTTCTTTCATAAGATGTTTTTTCCTTTCAGCAAAAGTCATGTGAGCAGAGCCTTCTGCTCCAGTGGCTCTGTCCTTCTGCCTGGGCTTGGTGGCTTTGCTGAAAGATGGTTCATAGAGCTCAAAGGGATGTTTCCCATTGGATTCAGCTGTTTCACTGCAGCCCTGACTGTCCCTGGCTGCAGATACTGCCTAGTTGGGATTTTGGACCTGCTGTGTGAAGCCCCTGATGCAAATTCTCAGTGGCTTCTGAGAATGTGTATATTTTTTGCTGCCTAATGGGTGTTTTCTTTGGAGTTGCACATGCACTCCCTGCCTTCTCACTGCTATTTTGCTGTTCATGGGGCTTTTTCTCTTTTTCAAATTCTTCCTCTGTATCTTCCTCTTGATTGTTCTTTACACTGTCACTTTGAGGACTTTGTTCAATTTTCATCGGATTTTTCAGCTCCTGTTTAAGTAATTCTCTCTCTTTTTTATCTTCTTTCCTGAATTCTGAAGTGTGTTCTTCCATCATTCTGCCCTCCCTTAGGTACTTTAAAATGAAATATCGTGGGATTTAGGAACACAAAGCATTAACGAGAGCAAGTTTCACATCCTTATTTCATTGCCTCAGTTGTTATTATTGATAACAACGAGTGCTGGTCCTACACTTTGGCCAT